TGGTAAACCTTACCACAGATATTTATAACCTTTACTACAGAGATTGGTAAACTCTACCACTGATATTTGTAACCTTTACCAAAGAGATTGGTGAACTTTACCATAGATATGTGTAACCTTTACCAAAGAGATTGGTAAACTCTACCACAGATATTTATAACCTTTACTACAGAGATTGGTGAACACTACCACTGATATTTGTAACCTTTACCAAAGAGATTGGTGAACTTTACCATAGATATTTGTAACCTTTACCAAAGAGATTGGTAAACTCTACCACAGATATTTATAACCTTTACTACAGAGATTGGTGAACACTACCACTGATATTTGTAACCTTTACCAAAGAGATTGGTGAACTTTACCATAGATATTTGTAACCTTTACCAAAGAGATTGGTAAACTCTACCACAGATATTTGTAACCTTTACCACAGAGATTGGTAAACCTAACCACAGATATTTGTAACCTTTACTACATATATTGGTAAACTTTATCACAGATATTTGAAACTTTTACCACTTTATATTTTAAACTATTGTTTTTTGTCATGAGTTTCCTTCCTTGCACCAGCATATGTCACGAGGAAGTGATGAGCCCATAATATACGGTAACTCGGGGTTTATTTTAAAGTGTTGTCACACAGAAATGGCAATAACAAGGTACTGCGTGTATTAGGTCTGCTGGAGAGGTCAACAATTACTTATATTCTGAAGTAGGTCATGGATGACCATCAACATCTTGATAGTAAAGCACAACATGTAGGTTGGGGGGGGGGGGATTCACTTGATATATCCTTATTGTACATCAAAACAATAAGTATAAAGGTGGACGATAAATAACTTAACTAACAATTGTTGGCATCATAATAAATTAGCGCAGGTACAGGATGGAACTTGTCTGTATGTGTCTGGTAGCATCTCCCTGTCGTTTCATTACCCTACCCTCTCTTCGCTTCCTTTGTAAAAAATAGCATCAGCCCCTTGTCCGTTAGCTTTGTAATGTATTTGTCATGTACCAGCAGATTATTGAAGAATGGGCTGACAACGGCCATGGAAGAGAAACAAGATAGCTCCTATGCCATTTTTATGAATGTACTTAGAATGTAAAATTGATCCGTTTAAATGAGCCTGTAGATGAATAGGCGGTGTATAATAGGTATTGTATTGGCTTGCTCGTGTGGACACCATACTGCCACACCCAGCTTCTAGGAGTACTCTGGGTTGGTGTTATACACATAAACAATGTAATATTACAGCTGTGATAGGTAAACAACTTCGATGTGCGGAAATGTAGGTCGTTTCTAGGCTGTTTGACGTCAGCTTACAAACAGTAAACAAACGTAATTTACACCCGTAATATTATATTTCCGAAATTGCACTTTTTAGAAATGTTGAATCAATAGCAATCGAAATGGAGAGAATGACATTCCTGGAATTGCAGGGTTTTTTTTAAGTGTTTTCAATGACGGTTAAACATTGTTAAGGTACTATGTTCCTATTTCTATTGTGTTCTTCTCCGATATTTACTCATCGTATCTTTAAATAGATTGGAATGTATGACCGACTTTTCTCTTTTCTGTACTGGATACAGCGGTAAGCCATTGAAACAGTATATGGTTATTTTTAATGTTATGTAACCTTGAAAGTACCAACGATATGAATGGGCTGCACGCCGTTTATAGACAAATGTGTTAATGGTATAACCATTCGCTTTGTTTCAAGAAAGCTTGTTGCCCTCACTGTTGCAGTGGCGGATCCAGAGGGTTTGTTAAAGCTTCAATAACACACACACACACACACACACACACACACACAGACACCTCCCTAAGAATTTCTTTAAAAATCATGTATTTTCACATTTTCCCTCGATTTTTCCCCACATGGACCCCCACCCCTTGGAAATTTGAAAGAAAAACCCAGAAAGGTATCTTGATCCGCCACCGCTGTTTCCTAGCTTAATCACATATAACGACAGCAGGGACACTATCAAGTCACCGGTAAGTAAACACAAATTTACTATGAGTCGTATACAATTATTACAGTCTATAGTTACTGACAAATGGTTTTTATGTTGTTGTTGTTTTTTCAGATTTAACGCTTGGTATAAAAAGTGCTGCTATTTTTTATTTATTTTTAAATAGCTAATGAATCAAAAAAGAAAATGTGTATCTCTTTCTTAAAAAGCCACAAAAATGGGAGGTCCTTGTGCATTTTTTTTTTTTTTTGTCCCATTAATATTTGTGTGTTTTTTCTCACCTTTTTCGCGGTCAAAAATAATAAAATGCTTCAGTTACACTAAATATGTAGCAAGAAACATTTGTGTATAATTTTCCATTTTGTTGCATGACATTTTTATCATTATTAAGTTGTACAGCAAAAATTAACTTGCTACAATTGGAAATGGCGAAGCAATGGCGATTTAAGTGATAAATCTAGTGTCAAAAAGGTGAAAATTTGGTCTTACTTAATTATAGTGCAAGATAATTGACGCCGAATTAGTCATTTTGCTATCGAAATTCTGGTTTTTATATTCTTGTACAAAAAAGTTGTTCTACAAACAAAAGGCATCCAGTTTTTTGACATATTTTTCAGATGCACGTTTGCTATTCAAGTTGATCGTAATTTGTTATATATTACCAAAACCCTTTACAAGAGATCAAATCGAGACTTGAACGTGATTTAAAATTCAAAAGAGTACATGGTAGTTTCTACTCCTGCTTAACGCTCAGCAATTTAGGAGTGGGACGACTGGTTCGCCCGTTGTCAGTATAATGTGACCGGGTGGGGTGTCGTGCTGGGTGTCCTCGGCAGTATGTTTCAGTGAGGTAGCACTATGAAGTAGGCATCAGTTCCGCGCTATCGCAAGGACACAAACACGAACATATCGCTGCCTCCAAAACCACACGCATACACTACACGCATGCATCTTGCACACAGGGGAGGCCGTCCGTAAATGACCATAGGTGTTGATAGGACGTTAAACAATGCTAAACTAAACCAAACCAATCCTCAACATGTACAATGTATCAATGTCGGAATCACATTCGCGAAACAGCTGCTTTGTAATAATCCCCTCTTGAGCCGGTGGCATGGTTTGACTTTGTCAGAAGAGTAAATAAGAATACATATATCCATTCGGGACTACGTTTGTCTGTAGACTAGGCTTTCATTCTGACAATAATCGCTCTAACGGCTAAAACAATCGTCTATAACTATCGCCTAATACCATCGTCTACAGGAAAATTATTCATTCTTGTAGTTCATTTAGTGTCCATAACATGTAAATATAAACAATAAGTTTTATCAATCATGAAAGGCTCTAGGAATATCGTTGATGAATGTGTAGCAAACTAATAGGACAGATGTCTGTACTAAGCTGTATCTGAGTCAGTAGCAAAACCAGAGCCCAGATGTCTGTATTAGGCTGTATCTGAGTCAGTAGCAAAACCAGAGGATAGATGTCGGTATTAAGCTGTATCTGAGTCAGTAGCAAAACCAGAGGATAGATGTCGGTATTATGCTGTATCTGAGTCAGTAGCAAAACCAGAGGATAGATGTCGGTATTAAGCTGTATCTGAGTCAGTAGCAAAACTAGAGCACAGATGTCTGTATTAAGCTGTATCTGAGTCAGTAGCAAAACCAGAGGACAACTGTCTGTATTAAGTTGTGTCTGAGTCATTAGCAAAACCAGAGCACAGATGTCTGTATTAAGCTGTATCTGAGTCAGTAGCAAAACTAGAGGATAGATGTCTGTATTAAGCTGTATCTGCGTCAGTAGCAAAACCAGAGGATAGATGTCGGTATTAAACTGTATCTGAGTCAGTAGCAAAACCAGAGGATAGATTTCGGTATTAAGCTGTATCTGAGTCAGTAGCAAAACCAGAGGATAGATGTGGGTATTAAGCTGTATCTGAGTCAGTAGCAAAACTAGAGCACAGATGTCTGTATTATGCTATACCTGAGTCAGTAGCAAAACCAGAGGATAGATGTGGGTATTAAGCTGTATCTGAGTCAGTAGCAAAACTAGAGGATAGATGTCTGTATTAAGCTGTATCTGAGTAAGTAGCAAACCCAGAGGATAGATGTCTGTATTAACCTGTATCTGAGTCAGTAGCAAAACCAGAGGACAACTGTCTGTATTAAGTTGTGTCTGAGTCATTAGGAAAACCAGAGCACAGATGTTTGTATTAAGCTGTATCTGAGTCAGTAGCAAACCCAGAGGATAGATGTCTGTATTAACCTGTATCTGAGTCAGTAGCAAAACCAGAGCCCAGATGTCTGTATTAAGCTGTATCTGAGTCAGTAGCAAAACAAGAGGACAACTGTCTGTATTAAGTTGTGTCTGAGTCATTAGCAAAACCAGAGCACAGAAGTCTGTATTAAGCTGTATCTGAGTCAGTAGGAAAACCAGAGGACAACTGTCTGTATTAAGTTGTGTCTGAGTCAGTAGCAAAACCAGAGCCCAGATGTCTGTATTAAGCTGTATCTGAGTCAGTGGCAAACCCAGAGGATAGATGTCTGTATTAACCTGTATCTGAGTCAGTAGCAAAACCAGAGGACAAATGTCTGTATTAAGTTGTGTCTGAGTCATTAGCAAAACCAGAGCACAGAAGTCTGTATTAAGCTGTATCTGAGTCAGTAGGAAAACCAGAGGACAAATGTCTGTATTAAGTTGTGTCTGAGTCATTAGGAAAACCAGAGCACAGATGTTTGTATTAAGCTGTATCTGAGTCAGTAGCAAAACTAGAGCACAGATGTCTGTATTATGCTATACCTGAGTCAGTAGCAAAACCAGAGGATAGATGTCGGTATTAAGTTGTTTCTGAGGCGGTAGGAAAACCAGAGGACAGATGTCTGTATTAAGCTGTATCTGAGTCAGTAGGAAAACCAGAGGACAAATGTCTGTATTAAGCTGTTTCTGAGTCAGTATAGACGTAAAACATATACCTTATTATAAATATCTCGTAATAAAAGTAAACACAAAGACATCGGAAGTAAACCAGTAGACATTTAATGTCATGGAGTTTCTACTAAAATGTTCAAAATAGGAATAATTTTATTAATCTTCATAAAACATACACGACATGGCGATTTTTCGACAGAAGAGAAGCGCTAGCTCTGCTATGAAGAACTATCGTATATAAATGATAGGCGTGGCACATGGCACGGGACACTAACGATTAGATAGTACAATGATTAAAGGCCAATGCTGGAGGTCGGTTAGCTTCGTACACTGTTTAAACAGTGCTGGTCGTAAACTTAGCATGCTTTCATATTTCAAAATAGTTGTAACACGGTCGAAATACATTTTATTTTATCAATACATATGACATATATTGATAAGTTTTCTATGTTTCAATGTTAAATGATATACTATTTTTTTTTTACATATTTAGGACTCTAACGAGCTTCACTTGTTTATTGAACCATACATTATAAATCCACATAGATATAGGATTTTTTTTTTTTTTTTTTAAATTGAAGTAAAACATTATGTTTTGTGCTTCCTAATGATAAAGTGTATGGAGGATATCTAACCCTTTCCAGATTAATATCATCTCTATGCTTCACGAGCAAGGCAGCGTACCGATATTACCACAAAGTATGGCTGAAAACCATTACTTATTACGTATACAAAGAAAGAATGCAAATACTGAAAAGTTCCATCACTGAAGTTCCATGTAGATGGAATCTTCACATTTAAATTCATTTCATTTCAGTCATTATACAAATATAAGTTTGTACTGACACAACTTTATTTCAAAGTGCGCCCTAAGTCTGGCGCATTTGTTGACAGAAACTTCAAACGCATCTTTTCCTGCCTGACGAAATCATACGTCCGATGATGCGGTAAGATAACTTTTGTTCACGAAGCATGGCCACATCTAGAAAGCACAGTTTAGTTTACATAGGTGTGTTATAATGCAAATATCGTTACAAAAATTCATTGACAGTCCTCATTTTGCTGTTACCTTGCTTGTTGCAAAATAAACAGATCGATATCAGTTACAAGGATGAAACTATTATCAAAATTATAGAATCCTGCATCAAACCACGAAAATGTATTTTTTTTTTTAAATGGTAAAATTTTATTCAAATTTATCTATAAAGTAATTCAAGTTTTAAGTTCTATCAATCGTCCGTCACCGAGTGAAGCTGGTTAAATCTGGACCCGGGTTTGTATATCTACTTAAATATAGTAATTATTCTAATTAATAATAGGATTTGCCGTACATGCGACCTTGACAAGCATTGGCCTTCTTCACTTCCATATTTAGATGAATATGAACAATATTGCTTCATTTTCAATAATATGCGTTAGACGCATCACAAGTCAAGCTAATAATCTATGTTATACACAAGATGAAGAGTTGATACGATGCATGCGCATTGTTGTCAGCCATACATCATGTTATATAGTATTATATTAAAACATCAAACAGAATAAATTATGCCAAAAATATTCAAATCTATGTTATATATTCAATTGCATTTCTAAAATATACAATTTATAGCTACTCCTAATAAGGCACGGTTGATATGGTAGCAATGACGTAATTAATATGACACAATCATGACGTCATCAATTTATAATGACGTAAAACAATCGTGTTCAGTGTAACATGCAATTACCACTGTCTACGCCTCTGATATTAACATGATTTTTTACACTTTTTCTTCAAGAAAAAATGCCCAGGCTGCTTTGTAATCTATCTGTTAAATTAACAATTTCTTTAACTCTCTAGTGACGATTCAGGCGGTACTAAACATATTTACTTTGATATGTTCTTCCCACACATCTAATCACTAGTATTTCTTTTAAAACCCTGACATCAACTACATTTAAATTCTTCTTTTTATCAGATTGGATCAATGTAATTAAGGAACCCATTGGATACGGATATGAAAACGGGTAAAACAATCAACTACTGCGGTATATTCCTATGACTTTAAATTTATCGTGTCGCATGCTTTAGATCGACAGAATTTATTTACAAATGTTACTTTGTTATAATTTATGTTGCCATACCAACCGATAGATTTCGTAAATATAAAGACAATTTTGCTGAATAACCAATCCTTTTCCCAAAAGAACAGAACTAAATTTGAGTTAAAACATATTTACATATAATTAAACAAATTTTATCACAGAGTACCGTTCTAATATTTATAAAGATAAAATTACAATTATTAAAATTGTTGCCATTGCATGCGGTAGTTTGGGGATATCTTGTTGGTGTCCAGCACTAAATCATAAGCAGTCTCTGTAACCAGGATATGACCTTTCAGCTGTATGCAATTAAGCCATGGATTAAACTGAAAAATGTGTTAGATTGTACAATGGCATATACAATACGTCCATATGTTCACAAACTCAGAAGTTCTCCATGGTGTCCTTTCAAAATATTAATAATTAATATCGCACTGTGCACCTGTCGGGGCATTGTTTTGTCTATTGCAAACGTATAAGAACTTTTCATAAACACCTGTAGATGTCTTTCGTACTTTCGCATGTTTCACATATAACGTCACAACACCAAATAAATCTGCATTTACAGTTTTCCCTTACGTGTACAGTTTCCTTCTCATAGCCTCTGTGGCAGCACAACAGGTCACACCCACCTACGCCCATGGAAGACGGGTCACACATCCTACCGCGCGTGCCCAATGAACCGTGTTTCCGGTTCCGCTTACAGAAATTTGGCGAGTTCTCTGAATATATAAGATCAAGAGAATTCTGTGGTTTTATGGTATCCTCCTCAGGCTGAACACCCTTTCCATCATTTGTCCCTATCACCTTTATTGCTCCATCGAACTTCTCTTTTAAGGCCAACCCAACCTGACGAAAAATCGGCATCTTCAGCCAACATGTTTTCAACGTGCAGGATCCAGACAGGCCGTGGCATTTACACTCCGAGCGCATGTCTCCTTTCACAGCCTGTGAAAACAGTAAGAAATGTCATTGCTTTAATTTCAGTTTCGATATTTGTTTCAGATCTACATCTACAGTTAAAATAGACATCTTCCGTCAGTAATATTAAAAAGAAAACAAAAGTATAACGTATCGTGTCTATATAGCACAACTCTTCTGGTCCCTACACACACTTTCTGTGAGTGCGAGTTGACGGTATGGTGTCTATATAGCACAACCCTTCTGGTCCCTACACACACTTTCTGTGAGTACGAGTTGACGGTATGGTGTCTATATAGCACAACCCTTCTGGTCCCTACACACACTTTCTGTGAGTACGAGTTGACGGTATGGTGTCTATATAGCACAACCCTTCTGGTCCCTACACACACTTTCTGTGAGTACGAGTTGACGGTATGGTGTCTATATAGCACAACCCTTCTGGTCCCTACACACACTTTCTGTGAGTACGAGTTGACGGTATGGTGTCTATATAGCACAACCCTTCTGGTCCCTACACACACTTTCTGTGAGTACGAGTTGACGGTATGGTGTCTATATAGCACAACCCTTCTGGTCCCTACACACACTTTCTGTGAGTACGAGTTGACGGTATGGTGTCTATATAGCACAACCCTTCTGGTCCCTACACACACTTTCTGTGAGTACGAGTTGACGGTATGGTGTCTATATAGCACAACCCTTCTGGTCCCTACACACACTTTCTGTGAGTACGAGTTGACGGTATGGTGTCTATATAGCACAACCCTTCTGGTCCCTACACACACTTTCTGTGAGTACGAGTTGACGGTATGGTGTCTATATAGCACAACCCTTCTGGTCCCTACACACACTTTCTGTGAGTACGAGTTGACGGTATGGTGTCTATATAGCACAACCCTTCTGGTCCCTACACACACTTTCTGTGAGTACGAGTTGACGGTATGGTGTCTATATAGCACAACCCTTCTGGTCCCTACACACACTTTCTGTGAGTACGAGTTGACGGTATGGTGTCTATATAGCACAACCCTTCTGGTCCCTACACACACTTTCTGTGAGTACGAGTTGACGGTATGGTGTCTATATAGCACAACCCTTCTGGTCCCTACACACACTTTCTGTGAGTACGAGTTGACGGTATGGTGTCTATATAGCACAACCCTTCTGGTCCCTACACACACTTTCTGTGAGTACGAGTTGACGGTATGGTGTCTATATAGCACAACCCTTCTGGTCCCTACACACACTTTCTGTGAGTACGAGTTGACGGTATGGTGTCTATATAGCACAACCCTTCTGGTCCCTACACACACTTTCTGTGAGTACGAGTTGACGGTATGGTGTCTATATAGCACAACCCTTCTGGTCCCTACACACACTTTCTGTGAGTACGAGTTGACGGTATGGTGTCTATATAGCACAACCCTTCTGGTCCCTACACACACTTTCTGTGAGTACGAGTTGACGGTATGGTGTCTATATAGCACAACCCTTCTGGTCCCTACACACACTTTCTGTGAGTACGAGTTGACGGTATGGTGTCTATATAGCACAACCCTTCTGGTCCCTACACACACTTTCTGTGAGTACGAGTTGACGGTATGGTGTCTATATAGCACAACCCTTCTGGTCCCTACACACACTTTCTGTGAGTACGAGTTGACGGTATGGTGTCTATATAGCACAACCCTTCTGGTCCCTACACACACTTTCTGTGAGTGCGATTTGACGGTTTGGTGTCTATATAGCACAACCCTTCTGGTCCCTACACACTTTCTGTGAGTACGAGTTGACGGTATGGTGTCTATATAGCACAACCCTTCTGGTCCCTAAACACACTTTCTGTGAGTGCGAGTTGACGGTATGGTGTCTATATAGCCCAACCCTTCTGGTCCCTACACACACTTTCTGTGAGTGCGAGTTGACGATATGGTGAGTTGACGGTATGGTAAGTACCGATTGTTGTCAGTGATGTATTGTTACACATGCACTTGAAATTTGAAATCAACACGTGCGATTCCTACATCATTTCCCCAGTCATTATATATCCCACGAGACAGTTATGAGACACGTTTCTAGGGGTTCTATTACAGTACCAGATATGTTTTACCTGTCTTCACTCTACTGCTGTTCTGTCAATCACCGTATTAGGGGTTTCTCTCGCACCGCAGATAGTGCCAGATCAAGTGGTACCCTTCGCAGTACCTTTGTGTGACATTTGGCCCAAACGGCTGAGTACGATCATCATACTAATATGTATTACACGTTCTAAAGCACTCATTAATCGCAACATCTCAAATGTCATGTTAAGTATTGTTTTGATATTACTTGACCCGCTACAATATTTTTGAACGAATAATAATAATTTCCTGTTAATGAGTAAGTTCTGTTTGTCTCAGTCGAGGGAATTATAAAATTTTAACCGATGTGCATAAAGAGGGTAGTATGTTGTATTTGTGCAGTTACAGGTGACTTTCTGTCTGTCTTTGATCTGTTGTTGTTCCGCTATTATCGTGCCTTTCTAAACTATTGCCGCATTCCTTCCTTCCATGATAACGTTAATTAGTACATGCTTGAAATTTCTCGCAAATCACATTGGCCGGATCCTTTACACGTGACCAGTCTTCAAAAACGCATGTAGACTGGTTATCCGGTGGATATCGATTTTTCTAAATATAGTCTATATGGTAATTCCCCGCAAACAGTCGTAACGCATGCGCAGTTAGACCGGAACGCGATCTGTCAGACGTCAACAGAAGATTGCTGCTAGCGAAGGCGAACGCTTCGCCTACGTTACATCTGAAAATAAAAGTTCCAAAATCTATTCGAAAATAAAGATGCTGTTAACACAAAAAGGTCACAGAAGACGCAGCGCGTGTCCTTGTTGCTTATCTTAAGGACAAGAACCTTGACGATGTCTTCGAAAACTACGAAACGAAAATGTTGAATTCAACAGTTCAGCACTGGCTAAATTTTACACGGAGGCTCGTTCTAGTAAAGGTGAACTATACAAACTTGTATTGTTTAAGCATGCAATTAAACTGTTAAAGTCCTTTCTGCTGGTAAATCTGAGGGTTTTGTGCAGGTTAATATGATGTGATATGAACCTGAAGGAGTGATATTATCTGAGGCTAATTCACCAACACAAAAGTCCACAATTGTGTAATGTACATCCATAAAGTAACATCGAATGATTCATAACGTTCATTACCAATGACACACCTCATCCTGGAGATTATTTTTTATCTTCCTAGCGATCAGCATTTAGGATAATGTCAACAAATGGTTTACCAATATCAGTATAATATAACCGGGTGGATTATTGAGCAGGGTGCCCCCGCCATGGTATTTCAATTAGATAGCACTCCAAAGTCGGCATCAGATCCACAAGGAGTCAGATTGACCAACATACACGAAACTTGCCTCTAGCACACACACAAACACACACTCACACACACACATACATGCACGCATACATCAAACACCCGGAGGCAACGTCCGATAATGACCCCAGCTGTTATTAGGACGTTAAACAAAAATAAAGCTTCTGTTCCTCACTACAAACGTTATTTTCTGCTGATTGATTGATCGTACATCAATGATTAAGTGCCCATGTATTGGGAAACATGTGATGGACTCATCGTCCGAAATGGTTCAAGTTACGTCCTTTTATCTGGGACCTAGTGTAGACACCCTGGATAAGATTACTTCAATTTACAACTTTAATGCATTCCGCAAGAGAACCTCAGAGAAAATATTATTGAATATGCATCACAACTCAAAGGAATTAAGATATTCGATATTTTAAAAGTGGTTTGTTACGAGTGTGAAAACAAGGACCCTTGACAGTGTTTGAGCATTCTGACTGGCTTTGATAGAGCGATCAAAAGGCCTGTCACAATCGGCCCACACCATGCACAAACACAGTAGCAATGGGAGATGTACCTCAAACACTGTCGTGTGTAGGCCGAACGTCAAACGGAATGTAGGTAGAGGAATTACCGCGGTGAATCAGGTCTAAGCAAATGACATCCTGTTAGAGCTGAGATCGTCACTATTTCAGTTATGTTAAATACTCAATAAGTATTTTTTTCATAAGATCAATTTGATAGCAGGATTTGGTAGATCATTAAGCGTTAAAAGTGTTAAGTATGCTTTTGACCTTCTATTAAGAAAGGTTACACTTCATCATCATAATTTCAAGTAAATAGAACGAATGCAGTCGGTATGATACAACGCTGTGTATCGCACTTACAAATCATTGTTGAATTTAAATAATTTAAAGTATTCTTATTTACAAATAAAATGTCCTTGTGTGAAATTTGTGTTTACGTAAACTAAGGTGAGAACACTTAACCGAAAACCGCCTTTTTATGAGTCATCTTTCTTGCATGAAGTTTAAAAAAGATGTTGCTAACATACCAGTCAGACATCCTAAGCAAATTTTTAAAGCGAGATTTTCTAAAAGTTTTACTCGTAAAGTATTGAGTAATGCTTTTCACATAATCAATGAAAATATCACTACCTGGAATAGTCACATTTGTTTTAATAATTATACTATTTATTTTTTAAAATGATGTCGTTACGATTGTCAGTAGAGTTTTGTTATACACTGAGAAGGTTGTCATCACCAATAAAATGTAACTATATGTTTTCAATTATTTATCTATATTCAATTATTCATCTACCTTACCATATACTTGTATGTGTTATCTACCTTATCATACACTTGTATGTGTTATCTACCTGACCATACATTTGTACTGTATTTGTTATCTACCTTACCATACACCTATATGTGTTATCTACCTTATCATACACTTATATGTGTTATTTTCCTTACACTTCACTTGTATGTGTGTATCTACCTTACCATACACTTGTATGCGTTATCTATCAACCATACATTTGTATGTGTTATATACCTTACCATATAATTGTTTGTGTTATCTTCCTTACTATACACTTATGTGTGTTTTCTACCTTACCGTACACTTATATGTATTATCTACCTTACCATACAC